ACCCTCCTCAGCCTCCCAGAGTGCTAGTATTACAGGCATGAGCCACCTCCCCAGCCAACAATGAGTAGCTTTAGACAAATTTGCATTTTAGTTCACATTCTGTAATCTCCCTGCTATGGTTTTTTCTTTCCTTTTTATTTTCTGGATTTTGAGATGCAATATATAGTAACAGAAGGAGTGTTGTACCCCATGTTGGGGAAATTTGAATTTTAGTTTTGACTCAGCTGCTAGCTTGCCGTGATCTTGAATGAGTTACTTTTATGTCTTTGGTCTTCGTAAAATATGGATATATCTATCCTATACACCTCAAAAGATTTTTCTTTAAGATACGAGGGCTAATGATAACGTATTTGAAAACTATACAGTGGTGGTTATGTTACTTCCCTGGACAGGAGTATTTTGCTTTGAATAAACCGAATAGGTGAAAATCATGATTTGTATTGGGATGATTCACTTTATGGAAGAGTTCTTTTTCAGAGATATCGGAACAGAGTTTTTTTTTTTAATTTCAGAATATTATGGGGGTACAAGTGTTAAGGTTACGTATATTGCCCATGCCCCCCCCCCTCGAGTCAGAGCTTCAAGCGTGACCATCCCTTAAACGTTGGACATCTCACTCATTATGTTTGTATATAGTCATCCCCTCCTCCTCCCTCCCACCTGTCCGACACCCGATAAATGTTATTCCTATATGTCCACTTAGGTGTTGATTAGGTAATACCAATTTGCTGGTGAGTACATGTTGTGCTTGTTTTTCCATTCTTGAGATACTTCACTTAGTAGAATGGGTTCCAGCTCTATCCAGGAAAATACAAGAAGTGCTATATCACCATTGTTTCTTAAAGCTGAATAGTACTCAGAACAGGGTTTATTTTGTAAAACTTGCTTCCACAGTTGGTTAAGGTATGTTCCCCATCCCTATCAAATTTGCAGAAATTGGGGGCACTTTTGCTGGGAGCTAGGAAAGTGAGTGTCATCCAGGACCCAGCGTGGGAGAATAATGGCTATGAGGTTCAGTTTTGGAACCCAGGTTTCAGACCTGACTCCCCTACTCACTCTCCTTGTTAGATTGAACCTTAAGAAATTGCTGTTTCTGTTAGTTAAAAATATGCCTGAATAGCAGCAGTTTCATAAGCTTCAACCTAATTATAAAAGCCTCAGTTTTCTTGCCTAGTGATGATGTGATTATTATTATTAGTAGTAGTGATGTTGATTATTACTTATATGAGGACCAGCTGAGGTGGGATTAGAAAGGAAATAAGATAAAAAAAAACTTAAGCCATTCATATACATGTTTTTCCTTTAATTTTTGAGTAGGTCGATCATTTATCTGGTCAGTGTAGAAGGGTGTACAGTGAGATATCCCTGCTTCTCTCCCCCAGCAAGACTAATATTTTAAACTATCTAGTCAAAGTTCTATTTGTGCTTTTTTCCCTTTGTTAACTTGAAAAAGTTTGTGATTTTTTTTTTTTTTTTTGCCACTAGACTACAAGGGAAAACATGAATTAAAGTCAGAAAATCTGTGTTCCTAATAAGCACAGCATAGTAAGACTCATTCTATTTATTTGGCAGTCTTTATGTCCTTTTTTTGAGTATTGTGGGAATTAAAGGCAAGTAACCAGGTATCAGGTAGATATCTTTCAGATTAAAAACTGGTAGCATGTTTTCCAGGTTGTTTGCCTTTAGGGTTTTGCTTATGAATATTATCACTAATTTTGTTTTATATCTCTCATGAGTGGAATTTCATTGTTATATGGTAACTAGGAGACTAGATTAGTGGGAAGTCTAGAGACTTGGGTTCTTGAACCTGGTTTGGAGACTACTAGTAGTTCTGTAACCTTAAGGTTGTGGCCAAATGCAAGAGATCCAGAGGGCAGTGCTTGAAAACTACATTTGTGGAGCAACATCCCCACCTTGTGGCTTTTTTCTTTTCACAGACATTAGTAGTTAGATGAAATAAGACAGTGTTCTAGCTTGAATTCGAAAACATAGCTCACTGTTTGTTTTTGAGTCTCAGACTTTAAGAACAAAATAGTCTTAACTGCTGTAACCCTTTAAATGCCAACAATTGATCTGTTAATCTTAGAACTGTTTCCCCAAAGTGCTATGTAGAAAGATGTTAAAAGCTTAGCAGTAATTAGGTTTGGCATTTTCATGGCACTTAAGTAAAAGGAAACATTAGTTTTAGATTGTATACTTTATAGTTTTGGATGCCCATAAAGGTCACTTGACTGAATTGGTTATAAAAATGTGGCAAAGAAATTCAACACAAATTTAGAATTATTCTTGGGAGGATGACTTAATAATGGCAAAGGTAACCAAACTTGTTTAATTTTACTTTAAAAAGTAATTCAGTAGCAATATATTGTGGAGATCATTACTATATAGTTACAGAAAAGTAAAAAAATAGTTGTCCCAATGTTATTTATGTAAATAGAAACTTAGGGCTTAGAATAAAATTTCCAGGGGCCACATTACAGGAATTTACAGAGCTTTTTTTTTTTTTTTTTTTTGAGACAGAGTCTTACTCTGTTGCCAAGGCTAGAGTGCCGTGGTATCAGCCTGGCTCACAGCAACCTCATACTCCAGGGCTCAAGCAATCCTTCTGCTTCAGCCTCCTGAGTAGCTTGGACTACAGGCACTCGCCACCATGCCTGGCTAATTTTTTTTTTACATATATTTTTAGTTGTCCAATTAATATCTTTCTATTTTTTAGTAGAGATGGGGTCTCACTCTTGCTCAGGCTGGTTTCAAACTCCTGACCTTGAGCGATCCTCCTCCCTCGGCCTCCCAGAGTGCTAGGATTACAGGCCTGAGCCACCGCCCAGCCCTACACAGAGCTTTTATTCTCAATAATTTAGATGGAGGTACATAGAAGTTTTATATCATTCTATTTAATATGGGCACTAAAATGATCATAGTACTTACTGTGTTTAAGATGGATTACTTTGTTTAATTTTCACAATGATTTGATGAGGTAGGAACTATTGTTATTCTGCTTTTACACCTGAGAAAACTGGGGGCTGTCAAGTGCAGCAGAACTAGAGCTGCACTGGGGCAGTCTGATTCCTAGATATGCGCCCATACCACTAGGACGTGCCGTCTGTGTTGCTTGTAGTGCTGTGCAGCGTAGTGGTGTAAAGGGCAGATTAGTGTAGAAAATGAATTTTTAATACTGGATCTGCCATTATAGCTTTGTGACCTTGGAAGAGGTCACGTAACTTTTTCAATTTCAGGTGCTTTTAGGACTAAATAGGATAATTTATTTAAAATAGCACTTAATATATGCTAAACAAATTGTTATTAATAATCATAGTAATTATAATGACTACTTTGTGATTTATAACAGCTCCATGTTTTTGTGGCCTATGATTTTCAAGTACTTTTTATTTTTTTGAGACAGAGTCTCACTCTTGCCTGGGCTAGAGTGCCGTGGCATCAGCCTAGCTCACAGCAACCTCAAACTCCTGGGCTCAAGCAATCCTACTGGCTCAGCCTCCAGAGTAGCTGGGACTACAGGCATGCGCCACCATGCCTTGCTAATTTTTTTTTCTTTCTATATATTTTTAGTTGGCCAATTAATTTCTTTCTGTTTTTTTAGTAGAGGCAGGGTCTCTCTTGCTCAGGCTGGTTTTGAACTCCTGACGTTGAGTGATCCTCCTGCCTCAGCCTCCCAGAGTGCTAGGATTACAGGTGTGAGCCACTGTGCCCGGCCTCAAGTACGTTTTTAAAATCGCAGTACACCAAGTGGCTAGTGGTTTGTTTTTATTTTTTTAAAGTTACAGTACTTAATGGCAGTACTCCAGAAAGAGTACTGCGAATTAGTAAGTAAAAAAATGTTTTGATTTCAGTGGGAGAGAGAAGTTATGCAAAATGACAGTCATTTTCAAGGAGATGCCATTTTTTCTTTCTGCCTTATGACTGTGTGCATGTGTGCAAGAGAGAGAGCCAGAGAGAGGATTCTGAGTGCATTTACGTATTTTTTTACAGACTTGTGTGATGGGATTGGAGGATGTTTCATGTTTGATGCTGTGGAGAGCACAGAAGGTCACAGGATCCATCCTTTGGTAGAGAGGCCAAGCCAGTAGTCCTAGGAAAGGTTGTGGAAAATTGGGATAATTGTGATTGGATTCCAGGGATTGGAGGTCAGAATGATGGCAAAGACCAGATTCAGTAAGAATGAAGGGATGAGAATGTGAAAGGATAGGAGATTCTAGGCAGAGATATTTGTGTTAAGATTTTAGGAATAAAGTAAGGAGGGATGAAGTTTAAAAGAGTAGAAACATGTATGACATGGGGTGGAGGTGTGAGAAGGGTTAGTGGATTGTGAAAAATTTGCTAGGTGAGACAAGGAGGCAAAGGAGTGTCCTGGAAAACTGTTAGGAACATAAGGAGATTTGTTTCTCAACTTGAGTAACTCCCAAGTGATGGGTAAGTGATGGTGCTGGTGTGGCAGAGGTGGGGCCCTGTTGGTCAGGGCAGGAGCAGCAAAGAGGCAGACTGGGGACTGTGGATGCGGCCGCCTCAGCATTCTGCAAGACATACGTTTGCATTTTCTAAGAAATAATATAATTCCCCTTTTGAAAAATCATTAGAGAGTATATATTAATGAACTGTAGCTTTTATGAACTTTCTGGTCATGCCTGTTTATTTGATGCAGAGTCCTTGGCTAGGAACAGAAACCTCAGGTAGGGAAAATGTTCACTTTATCATGATTTCCTTAATGATTGATTGATTTTTGTCAGTATAAAATTGATTAAATAGGAATTTATATACACATTCTATACTGCTATTAATGTTTTATACAGTGCTTTCTTTAGCATTTTTATTTTGAGGGGTTATTAGACTGAGCATTTTCTGGGGCAGATGCTTTTTAAAGGGAATTTTATCTTTTTGGAAAATAATTTTTAAAGGTTAATTTGGTAAAAAGCTGAATTTAAATATCTGTAGCCCTTATAATTATGAGCTTTTTACATTTACATTGATGTTCTTTTGTATAGGAGTTAAAGTTCCTCGTAATTTTCGCTTGTTGGAAGAACTTGAAGAAGGACAAAAAGGAGTAGGCGATGGTACGGTTAGCTGGGGCCTAGAAGATGATGAAGATATGACACTTACAAGGTGGACAGGCATGATTATTGGGCCACCAAGGGTCAGTGCTATAAATTACATATTTTTTGTATTCATATTTATTGTTGCTTTAGAGTAAACATTTCATTTTATACGGTTGATATTAAAATAAACAATTATGATAACTTCTAACTGAAATAATTCCTCCCTTTCTGTATTTATTGATGCTTCCTATGTGCAGGGTGTATTGTTTGATTATCTGGAGGATTGGGGGTAGAAGGTTGACATGGTTGTTGCCATCAAAGTGTTTGCAGTTTAGTAAAGGAGAAAAAATCAATACAGATGACAGATTCTAAATATGGCAGAGCAAGTTCACTACAGGACTTTAGAATATTTCTTCTAGCTGAAATAATTGAGGAAGGCTGAACAGTGGAGGAAGTTGCCTTTGAAATAAGCCCTGGTAGGATTTCATTCAGAAGGTGGTGGTGGGGATGGAGAACAGTCCAGATAGAGAGGAGAAAAGGTGAGGAAATGTAGGGGCATATTGGGAAGTTCAAACATTTGACTTAACACGTTACTAACCCCCTGGTGTGTAACATAGGGTTTCTAAATTGGTTTGTATTGAGTGCACATGCTGTCTGCGTTAGACATTTCACATGCTGTGAAAATGCTTAGGCCTCAATTTCTTCATCTGTAAAGATATATAGAAAAGTCTGTGATTCTTATATATTTTCTAGTATTGTTATTGGCACCTGGCCCATTGTGTTTTATTCTTAAGTCTTTCTCAGGTTTATGACGTTTTATTTTTACTCAAAATCTTTCTTCTGGATTGGAAGTTATTTTTTCTACATTTCTTTACTCAAAGGTCCCATCCACTATTCTCCCTGCAGTGAATCTTTGAAATGTGTATTATGTAATGCTTTTGACTTGCTGGAAAGAACACAATTTTGAATGTTTTTTTTTTTAGTCTTTGGTTTTGTGTATTGGTTGCTAGCTTATGATGAGAACATTTCAACTGTTTGCTGTTGGGTAGAGTTTAGGTTTCCTCTTGATTATTACAAAAGAAAAATGGATCAGATAATTAGCAATGTTAACTTTAAAGAATGAATTAGTACATTTTTATATTATTTTCTGGTATTCCTTTGCAAAATTTGCATATACTCCTAGAAGTTTCCCTCTTTCCTTCCTTGCTCTGATTTTTCCATAAGACAATCTGAGGAAGGAAACATAATACTGATACTTAGAATTCTTTATAACTTGGTTATTTGTAATGAAAACCTTGATTTTCACTGCCTGTGAACATTATTACTGTGATCTGTTTTGTGAAAAAAAAGTGCTTATAACTTATTCTGACTTAAAACTTAAAAGATTTAACAGTCAGAACTTGGTGGAATGTAAATTTGAAATGAGTTAGATTTGGTTTTTCTCCAGCCATTGCCTCCAATAAGAATGTTTGGAGCTTGTATATGAGTTCATCAGTGGTCCTGCAGGCTGACCCCCCAGCACAACTCCCAGATTGGAGGAATAGCTCCAGCTTGTCTCTCACCTGGCTGGGGTCCCCAGCAGGATTCCCAACCTTCCTGGTGTCACCACACCTCAGGAAGCTCTGGCTGTCTGTGCCCAGGGAGGGGAGCGAAGGCTCCTCTCTGCAGTTCCTCTCTCCTAGCCGAGGGGGCAGAGGGCACATAGACAAGGTGTTGCCGTGGGCCTTTCCCTCTCTATGGGTTGTGGTCTTGGAGCTGCAGGGGGCAAAAGTATTTTTTTCTCGGCCGGACGCGGTGGCTCACGCAGACTGGCACGGCACTCCTCTAGCCTGGGCAACAAGCGAGACCCTGTCTCAAAAAAAAATAATAAATAATAAATAAAAAAATAAGATGGAAACAAGTACCTTCATTTACATATGAGAAAACTTGAAAAATATACTAAAGCCCTAAAACCAACAAACACTGCTGCATAAAACTGTACACAAATACACAGAAAAACAAAATTGCTAATCATATGAATCTAAATAAATACTGGAATAACAAAAAACTAGGTATCCTATTCAATAAAATATAAAAAAATAAAAAACATGTAACAGGCTGGGCGCGGTGGCTCACGCCTGTAATCCTAGCACTCTGGGAGGCCAAGGCAGGAGGATCATTCAACGTCAGTTCAAAACCAGCCTGAGCAAGAACGAGACCTCGTCTATACTAAAAATAGAAAGAAATTAATTGGCCATCTAAAATATTATAGAAAAATTAGCCGGGCATGGTGGACATGCCTGTAGTCCCAGCTACTCGGGAGGCTGAGGCAGAAGGATTGCTTGAGCCAGGAGTTGGAGGTGCTGTGAGCTAGGCTAACGCCAGGGCACTCTAGCCCGGCAACAGAGTGAGAATATGTCTCGGAAAAAAAAAAGTAACAGTATGTTAAGGTCAGTTTTCCTAGTATCCTGCTAGATGTGGATACTCACAGAAGAGGACAAAATTGTTCTCATACACACCTTCTAAAGAGAAAACAACTGGGGTGAGACACAAACTCCTGCCTGCCCATTTATGAAAAGCAACTGGATGTGTGCTGTGACCACTGGCCTTTGAGAGAACTGGAGACAGGGTGATGTGAAGAAGCTGTCCAGTGGTATGCAGAGTCCAGCTCCAGGAAATACTAGGTCTCCACAGGGCACCCTTCCTACCTCCCACTGGCACTGGAAGTGAGAGGGGGGTCTTGATGGGGCTCAGGACACGCTACCCCAATACAGCACCATCGACAGAAGCAAGGTCACTCTCCACTTCCCCTCAGCCCTTTCTCCCCTGTAGCAAGTCCCAAAACCTAGTGATCCTCTGAAGTAGGCCTGTCTTTATACACAGAGAGAAAATCAAAGCACAGAGACATAAAGAAGAATCTGAACAAACAAACCTTGGTTGAGTTCCCCCAGTTTATATCCACTTTGTTACCATTAGATCCAATCACACTTCTGCACTACCATCCACTCTTCATCAAACTTAGCATAAAAACACGCAGGTTTTCCCTGCTTCTATGGGTCTTCATTTACGAATGTTTCCATGTCACATAAAAAATAAATGTGTATGCTTTTCTCTTGTTAATGTATTTCATTACAAGTGCCTTGGCCATGACTCTGTGATAGGTGAGAAAAAATATTTTTTTTTTTTTGAGACAGAGTTTCGCTTTGTCGCCCAGGCTAGAGTGAGTGCCGTGGCGTCAGCCTCGCTCACAGCAACCTCAGTCTCCTGGGCTCAAGCGATCCTCCTGCTCGGCCTCCCGAGCAGCTGGGACTACAGGCTGCGCCACCATGCCTGGCTATTTTTCTATATATATTATTGGCCAATTAATTTGTTTATTTATAGTAGAGACAGGGTCTCGCTCTTGCCAGGCTGGTTTGGAACTCTGACCTGGAGCAATCCGCCTGCCTCAGCCTCCAGAGTGCTAGGATTACAGGCGGTGAGCCACCACGCCGGCCTAAATCATTTTAAAATTAGGAGTTTTCGGTTCAGGTGCAAGTGGCTCGATGCCTGTAATTGGCTCATGCAAAGACTTTGGGAGGCAAGAATGGCAGGATTATTGAGGCAGGAGTTTTGAGATGAGTGGATAACACAAGTGAGACCCTATCTCTACAAAAATTAAGAAAAATAAAAATAGTCAGGTGTGGTGTTGTGTGCCACAGTCCCAGCTACTTGGGGAAGGTGAGGCAGGACGGATGTTGAGCCAGGAGTTGAGGGCTGCAGTGAGCTTATGATCATGCCACTGTACTCTAGCCTGGACAACAGAGTGTGACCTTGTCTCTAAATAAAATAAAATCGAAATAGTTTCCGTTAATCATGACTGTTTAATTAACATTAACACCTTATAAAACAGCTATTTTAAGCAACTTAAAGCTTCTAGATTATTCAAGGGTTGTATTTTCATGTCTAATTAACTTTCTGTTCTCGCTTATAGTTTGATTCACTTGTGTAGCTTATAGGTGTAAGGCCATAAAAGGCAGGAAGTAAAAAAAGTGAACAGTGATAGGCATTGTAGATACGGCATGATGGCTCCTATATAAGACCGAGGGGGAAAAGAAGGCTAATTCACCCAGCGGTACAGATCTCACCCGAAACTATCCTTTTCCCATACAATAAGGGCTACCCGAAGTGGAGGTCAGGATTTGTAATATTTAAATCCGGTGATCAATGAAACATGATGAAGGACCAATCTCAGTGTGTTATTAAACATTCGAATTATGTTAAAAAAGAGAAGAGGTTGTATAAATTCATCCAATTTAAGAGCAAACAAATATAATATGACCCGCACTTTTACGTGCTATATTAAAAACAAGCTAAAATCAGAAATTCAAGAGGTGTATCTTGACTGTGCTTCTCCAGATTTGGAGGGTGTACTCAGGTCCCATTGATGTAGGTAATGTCTGAGGTTCTAGGCATTGTTACCCAAGAGAAATGGAAACGAAAGACATGTATTCACAAAAAAGACTTCTACAAGACGATGTCATAGCAGCGTCTTATGTGTAGATGGCAAGAAAGTAGGATAAAATCCGAAGTTGCTCACTAAACAGGAAATTCGAGGGGTAGAACAGTAGTCATATCCATACAGGTAAATAAGGCTGCTCAGCAATAAAAAGGAAACAGAACTCTTTGTTAGCTACTGTCTGACAGCAACAGTAGCTGAGTCGCTCAGATTCCACTGGGTAAAGAAGAACTCCAAAAGGTGACACAGTGAATAATTTCACTTATCAAATTTCTACAACATGCAAACGGTCAGGTGCAGTGAAGAAGAGGTGGATGGAAAGGGGGCGTTTCTAGGATGACAGAAATGTTCGTGGTATCTCGAATAGGGTGTAACAAGTACATTTGTTAAACTTCATGGCAAAGATCTGTGCATGTTCACTAAGGTGTAAATCCGTATTTCAATTTTAAAGTTAGAAAAATCACTAAGCTAGCCTATAATCTATTAAATGCTTTTGTAACGGATTGACCCTAAACTGTTGGACACGTTGATTGAACCTTTTATTACCTCTAATTTTAAAGTTAACGCCAGTTTTCTGTGGTATTAATAGAAAGCAAGAGCAAGTTAGGCACGTGGCTCATGCCT